TTGTTTAATAAGTGCTTAAACCGAAATGTCAATGTAATTAAGTCAAATGATTTTTCTCTGTGATCTTAACTAAGATCATATTTTATGGTTGAAGCAGGGTAATTTGTCTTTTTATTTCTTGAAAAATGATGACTAACGCTGTAATTTTTGTCTTTAAAATTCAGGAATCTCTTCCACATGTTTCCTGTCATGTTTGTATTTTTAAGTTTTTTGCTTACATGCAGTCCCTATAAATCTGGGACTCCATTTTAAAGTTTCAGGTTGTGACTAGCTAGTGTGACAGTGGAGAGATGGTGGGATTCACTCATCTGTCAGACTTTACTGTGATAACAGCAAGCTGGATGTAAACGGTGATGGCTACTCCATGGTAACAGAAACTAAGTTGTACCTAACAGTCATAAATAATAAAATATGTTGGCTTTTCCTATTTCCTCTTTTTTTTTTTTCAAACAAAAACATTAGCATTAATGTTTTAGATTTATTTAATAAGGAATACAAATTTCTTCTGTGGATTTTTGTCTTATGCAATTGATCAAATTTTCTCGACGAGAAGACTGGGCACAGGAGAGCCCTGTTGTCCTGCGGGGACACACCCGGCAGGATACACTCTGGATTTATTCATGATAACAGGATTTCTGCTGTTTGGAGCTTGCGGATACCTGCTTGTCGACAAATTTGTGACTGACTTGGCCGAACTAGCGAACGCTCAGACTGTCGGTGTGAACAGAGACGCAAGTTGGATGCGAGTCTTACTGAGACTCGCATCGCCACCTTCAGGACTAAAACTCACTGGAATCGATCTTGGAGAAGTTGCTAGCTTCGGTTCAGTGGAACAACCAGACTAATTAGGATAATTGGGAACTGAGATGTATCGGAGAGACTTTAGGGAAGATTGGAATTTATAATCTACCCGACCTAAGACTTTATGTATCTGAATTGGCCTTCCCCGTGTGGCCTTGGAAGGACTGCATATTTCCAATCTCCTTGAAAATATGTAAACATAACGCCCCTTTCCACCTCACCCCCTCCTGTTATCCATGCAGCTGTGGATAACAGGAGGGGGCTCCCAAGGTCATTCCTTGATAACATCAGACTTCTGCCGGGAGGCTGAGCAACGTGGTTTCATGGCCCTGTGACATCACCGCCTTCACTCATGTCTTTGTTTGTCTGAATGTTGCCATGTGCCCTAATGTGTCCTTTCCTCTTTTTAATTTTGTTAGAAACTGTGGAGTACTCACTTTTAACCCAGAAAAGGAATTAGACCAGAGACTCTAGTTTATTAGTTTATTAGTCACTCTTTAGCTTATTTTTTAGAAACTGTAGAGTACTCACTATTTAGATCAATATTAGATTAATTTTTAGATTATTATGCAGAGAGACTCCTATTATTGCAACCCAGAAAAGAAATTAGAACAAATTTAGAATCCAGAAAAAAATCTTCCAGAACAAAAACATTTAGTTTTTATTATTACTTAGAAACTGTGGAGTACTCATCACTTTTACAAATTTAGGGAATGCTTAGAAAGTCCAGAGAATACCTATGTAGCAACCCAGAAGTGCAGAGGATACTTACTTGCACTTATTTAACAACCCAAAACAGGGATTAGAACAAACTTATTTCCTTTTAATTCTTGTAAAGCATTTTGTATTGCCTTGTTGCTGAAAATGTGCTATATAAATAAAATTTACCTTTACCTTTACCTTATCCATGCAGGGTCCAATGTAAACATACACTGCAACTAATTTGGGTAAATGTACCTAAGCAAGTTGCCCAGAAGTCATACGCTTTTTGTAGTCACCAACATGCTACTGGTTCCCCCACAAACTTATAAATATTCAGTCATTCTGACCCATGTTCAGCCAATGATAAAGGTTTTTTCCTTTGGGGTTAGCTTTTGTACAAATATCCCTGTTTGCATTAGATTTATTGCTTCTCAAATTAATGTGAATTTTTTTCAATGTTAGTCTCAGCTGTAAAGAAGCATCGTGCAATGCAATGGTTCTTCTTTGTAAGATACAAAGCTGACACAGTGTTGCCTCAGTGGAGTTCTCCTCGCAGCTCTGATATTTACACGCTTATTTATCAGGCGGTGCACAAATAAATGTTCAAAAGTCCCATTAACTATATTAAAACTTCAACTTGAAGTTAACCACTAACGCTCACTGTTCACAAAATTTTCTGCTGACATTATGACATACAGTGTTCTTTTCCAGCTCAGGACTCTGATTGCTTGGTAGTTTTATACACAGTAAATCAGGAAACATGTTCAAGTAGAATATAAGAAACTGCATCACATTAACTAGTTAGATCAAGTTGTGTTATATAAGTGTGTGTCAATAAGTCATAAGTAGCTTCTTAAATGTCTTTGTGAATATCATTTGAGATAGACACCTCCATCAAATGGTGTCTATCTCACCATTTGAGATAGATAACTTAAAACTGCATGTAAACTGTTTTAAGTTATGAATAAATGCTCAGAAGAGTACAGAGACTTCTTGTTTGGTTGGATGTTTTAAGAAAAGTCAAGTCCAGAGCTCAGTAAAGAAATGTATTTTGTTGTGGGTGAATAAAGATTTTTTTTCTCCCGGTCTTATATTTTACACATATTTAAATATTCAGTAATAAGACAGGAGATGAGGAGAGAAAGAATGGAGGAAGTTCCTGTAAAAGATTGAGTACATGAGATCTGGTTTCTCTACTATACCAGTTGCCCCAGTAGAAAGCTGTCAGGCAACTGGCTCTGTGTGCAGGGAAGTCAGACTAAAGTCAAAGCTCTGAAAATCAAGTGTGATAGCAAGCAGCTCCATCTGCTTTTAACTGTAACAATGTGGCTCAGTTTTTATTTAACTTTAAAATTTTAAGTAAAATTCCCTCTGAGGTGCAGTCTGGCATGTGACCCTGAGACGTTTGGATCTTTTAAAGGCTATTCCCACAGAAACCTTTTCCCTGGTTTGTATTGGCTACAAAGTGAACTGGCTGATAAATAACTAAAGCTGTAGCTAGAAGATTCCCCACCCCCACACAGTTACAGTTTTTTAGCAGCTAGTTTATACTACTGTGAACTAAGTTACAAGAGAAAAGCTAGGATTTGTGGTTAATTACATAATACATTCTGCTAAATATGCATGCTCAGAATATAACACCAAATCTATCTTCACTAAGATTTCAGTGATATTTGCTTCAATCAAGGAAGTTAATTTCATACGCCACTCCCCTTTTATTTATTTGCATTTTAAGATATGCCAGTCACCACTAGCAATTAATGACACCATGACGGGAAATTAAAACGGAAAGGATCGAGCCTTTCAGTCTGATTCAGTAGCCCTACTTCTTGCAGGAACTCAAGAAAATTGCTACAACAGATGATATGATAGACATTGGATTAGTTAAATCAAATGTTCTGCCTTGATTAAAACAACATAAAAACAATAATGAAAAGTAATCATGTTTTGGTTAATCTGTCATATTCTCTGAAGAACACAGAAGAAAATCCTCATTTAAGGGCTTCAAACGCATCCCTACAAAATATCATAAAACTGAAATATTTATAAATGGGCAATAGTTTATCTGTTGTACAACTTACATACAATTATGTAAAAGAAATATATGCTCATAAACTTATAAGGCTTTTGCTGTATGCACACATCAGATACAGTCTAATCATCATCAACTGTTTGACTATAACTAATAAAAAGGGGAAAAAATTGCTTGGTCATTCAAACTTTGCGTTTGTTCCCCCCCCCTCCCCCCCAAGTCATTCATCACATTAATCAGCTTGGCTGATAAAACCAAGACCTTTGTATCAAAGGTCAACACATTCAAATCCTGCAGTGGTATCTTAAAATTTCTCCACCAGAAACTCTGCAGCAGACGATGTTGAAAGGATAAAATAGCATAACGCACGGTATGCCTGAAATGCTGAGACAAGACCCATAAAAAATCCCAATGCAGTCTGAGAAAGTTAGAACCAGCCTGACGAAGAAGATTGTTCTTTATTAGCCTCAAAGAATCTATGCCACAAAGATATATATAATACAATAGACAGATAGAATAGACCGACAGATCAAAAATGACGTTTATATTTCATCTTTCAAATAAGAAATCATTTTCAGAAGTCAAATTAAATAGTTTTCATGTTTCTTTGATCTCCAGGTGTGATGGTACAAACACATATCTGTCCAACTCAATGCAGACAGAGAAAAACAAACCGGAGCCATGTTAGGTCAAACGTGCAGCTCTACTGTGAGAAATAAATGTGACTTCCTTAACATATGAAGGAAGAATAACATCTTGTAACCAAGGAACCATTAGTGGTGTCAACTGAAGAAACCACAGTTTCTAAAAGCTGTGGTTTGGCTGTACCAGCCAACTAAACCTGTTTGATTGGCAGGCAAAACCAAACGGATTTAAAGTGAGGATGAACTTTATGACCAAAATAAAAGCCACCCAGCTTCACCTTACCTCTTTGTGTTTTTGTAGTAAGGGTTTCAGCCAATACTCTTCACCATTCTCGATACAAGCCCAGCCGTAATAGATTCCTGTGCTGGTATCTGCTGGAAGATTGTCCACCACCGAATCCGGGAAGTTGGCTGTAAATCCCAACATAAGGGACAGAAAAAGAAAAGGGGAATACAAACCAAACAAACAGGCAAAAGTAAGCAAGAAGATAAATGCTATGAGTTGTAAGTGGCTGAATTTGCTATTTTTTTTAGAAGGAAACAAATAATCTGTTGTATTATGTTTTTGAGCCTTTCAGTCTGTTTTAGTTACCCTACTTCTTGTGAGAACTCCAGAAAATTGCTGCAACAGATGAGATGATAAACGTGTTTCTTTCTCAACTTCTGAGATAAATATCAAGACACTTTGGATCACTTTAATTAAATATTGAACTGTGATTAAAACTAAATGAATTTAAAAACAATAATTAAAAAGAAACCAGGTGCCTTTGGTTAATGCGTCATATTTTATGATGTAAGAAGACAACATTTATGACATAGGATAATAATTTCAGGCCTCAGAAAGGCTTTAATGAATTAAATAGATCTAAAAATGACAGATCCAGGTTTCCAGCAATTACAACAGGCTTTACAGAGAATGTAAAAACTTTGCATCCACAGTTTCCTGTCATCCCAAAACTAAAATAAACAGTAAACAGAAAATACTCCTCCAAGGGCTTTTAATACATTCCCAAAAACATAATAAAACTGAACTATTTATAAATGGGCAATAGTTTGTCGTACAACTTTCACATACGATTATGTAAAAAAATAATTCATGTTCATAGACTTGTAAGGCTTTTGCTGTATATACACATTAAATACCTAAAAAAAAAAATTCTTCTAATCATTCGCAAATGTTTGACTATAACTAATAAAAAGGAAAAAAAAAAATGCTTGGTCATTCAAGCTTAGTGTTTCCTCCCCCAGCCCCCAAACGGTTTATCATCTTAATCAGCATGGCTGATAAAACCAAGACCTTGATATCAAGGATCAACACATTCAAATCCTGCGGTATAACTTCTTAAAGCATCTTTGTGTATTCTGCTTTTAATACCACAAATCTGGTCAAATGTAGGATTTGAGACAGATAGTTCAGCTCCAACAGAAACTCTGCAGCAGACGGCGTTGACAGGATGAAATAGTAAAACTTATCATGAAGGTTACATAAGTTGCAACTTAATTGTAGTTTTGATAGCGAAGGATTGCACAATATTATCTTTTAAGGACAATGAAGCTGCAATGCTGACTTGGGTATAAGAAGATAACCTAATGAGTTATCTTTCTTTGAGTTTATGGTTCATTTAAATCATTGTTTACACCAAGTAAAAAAAAAAAAAAAACATCTGATCAGTGATTTTTATATGTCCTCTCTACTAAAAGATTCAAAATATACAGTAGAACCAGATAATAATGCAAGAATATATACAGTTCAACAAACAACAGTTGTCAGAAAACAGCGTTTTAACACAGAACCACGTGAAAAGAAACAGAGGTTGACTGTTTATGTGACAGCCGACAGATTTACATGTGAACAGAAACGTGTTCAGGGCACAGCGCTGCCGTCTCTTCCAGCTGTCAGTGACCGTTGATGATGCTCTGAGACGTGGACGCAGCGGATGAGGAGGAGACCGGAGACGAGTTGGTCGTGCTGGTGAAGAAGTTGTCCTCTTTCAGCTTGATGTGCTCCGGGAGCTCCAGCTTAACCTTGGCCTCCTCGATGTCGCTGTTGATGGCCGCTATGAGATCCTCTGTCAGCAAGCATAAAAGGGCAGCAGGCAGTTTGTGCGTCAGGAAATAAATAGCACAAGAAAGGGGAAGAAACTGTGTTACTGGCACTCCAATTCGTTCCTTTCACTAAAGTACAAATATGACTTTCGTATTCCAGTTTCTACAAACGCAGATGACAGCATACCGAGTGAGGGAAAGCTCTTCTCTGAGCGGATGTAGCCCACCAGAACGACACTCAGAGTCTGTCCATAAAAGTCTTCTTTGAATTTGTGAATGACGTGCGTCTCCTGGAAGCCCAGAGACATTTACATGAATTTTAAAAGCAGATCATTTGCCAAAACTTATTGAAATGCTTAATCAATCACAATTCCATCTGGAGTTTTCCTTTTAGCAGAGCAAAACGACCCTGATACAAGCAGGTGTGTGATTTCTGCCTAACTCAATGCAGACAGAGAAAAACTTGAGTAACTTTATTTCCTGGAGCCATGTTAGGTCAAATGCACAGCTCAGGGTTTTTGTTTCTGTTCCCACTCACTGAAAGATGATTAATACTTTGAACTGAAGAAACCACACATACCACCAGCCAACCAAACAGGTTTAAAGTGAGGATGAATTCTATGACTGAAATAAAAGCCACCAAACTTGAGCTTACCATGGACTTCTTTGTGTTTTTGTAGTAAGGGTTCCAGCCGATGCTTATCACCATTTTGTAAACGTCGCCATTCCCGATACAAGCCCAGCCATAGTAGATTCCTGTGCTGATATCAGCCGGAAGATTGTCCACCACCGAATCTGGGAAGTTGGCTGTAAATCCCAACATAAGGGACAAAAGGAGAAGAGAGGAGTAAAAACCAAAGAAAGAGGCAGAGGTAAGCAAGACAATAAATGCTATGAGTTGCAAGTGGCTGAATTAGTTATTTTTAGAAGGGACCAACTAATTTATTTTATTGTGTTTTTTCCCCCCTTTCTATATGAGTTGATCAAATTGCTACTCTGCTTAGATTTATTTACTTAAGAGGATTTATTCTGACCTTGACAATGTAGCACCAGATAAAACAAATTAATAAGCATGTTGCACAGCACATCTGAATCTGGATTTTGTTGCATAATTACATCCAAGTAGTGATTATCTTCTATTAAATATATTATCTGAATTTTTTTCAAAAACAGAAGACTATCTAATTAGACTATTTTCAAAGGGATTTATTTTGCTAGATTAAGCCTGCTTTGTTTGTAAAAAATTAAAATGCTCATCTCTTTTGGAGAAAGTTTGGAAAATTACTTTTCACAAAATCTGAACTGGCTTGTTACTTAATAAAAAAACAGTCACGCGTGATGTTACTGCATATACTTACACAAAAAAGGGATGATCTTTTAGTTTCTTCAGTTAAGGATGTATTCAAAACTACTACCTCTGTAATGTTAATTTTTACATTTGATATTAACACATTTTAGCTACAGGTATTTTGTATGACCATATTGTTTGGGGACTACTGTGAAATTCTGAATCATGTTTTTAAATGACAGATTTTAAACAATGCAGACTTGTTTGGTTCGCTGGCATTATTCACTCCTCCGGATAAAAATAGATACGATGGATAAAATGGACAAATTAAAAGTTATAAGAAGAAAAGTGTCTTTGCTACCACCCCGAGGAACTCAAAATACATTTCTTTATTTCTTATGTGTTGGTCTGTGTCCATCTGCTCAATTCCTTTATTTATTTGAGGTTGCATAAAACACGACTTCACATTTTGGACAGAATCACAAGGACATACTGAGTCAACAGCTGCACTTTTAGAAACAGTAAAGTTCCCCTTACGCAACTCAAATACCTACGTAAAAATATTAGCTCCGTTTACGTATAAATGTAGAATGATTTTTGCGAATATCGCTCACGTAAAGCATAAATTACTGATCCGGTGACGTACAAAACCACTTAGATGAACTTGTTACGTTAAGATCCAGCCTCTGTATAATCCCGAGAATCAGTAAAGAATCTGTTATCACAGACCTTACGTTATTTACGTAGACAGTTATGTATCATATTATCTAACTGTAAAACTCATAGTTTGGTGCCAGTTTCTTGCCTCACCCGTGGGAATTCCGAGTTCTTTGCTTCCTCTTCCAAATCCTCGAACAACCTCTCCTCGGCAGAAGTACGGGAGGCTCTTCATGTTTTGTATACCGCGAACAGCTGCTTTAGACGGGGGCTACAGAATGACCTCGAACACGACACAAGGAAGTGAGCCTAGCTGCTCAACTGGAACGGTTTTAACGGCTAGCACACTGCTAAGAGAAAACTGATGTATATTTATTTTTAAGTTAAGCTCCGGTGCCCGAGTCTGAGTGTATGGTCAACTTTTCCTTCCAAGGTGCCTCCCTCAAGCTGGTTAAAGTTGAACCTCAGTCACTAAGCAGAGATGATGATGAAAGTTCACCAGCTATGCTAGCAGTGCTAACTACCTTCATCAGCTACTGACAGATCCTGAAGAGGGTGAAACCCCGGATAAATTAAAGATAACTGTTTCTATAGCAACCAGGAGGATGACAGTACTTGTTTCTGGACGGCTGCTACGTGGTGTGGTGATGAAGATCAAGCTTAGAAAAAGCCGGTTACGTTTATAACATGTGTTTGAACCCTCTGCGTCACGTACGCTCTACGTGATGTCATTGACCGCGTGACCACTGGAGAGTCATGGTGCGTTTAGGTAAAGTGGGAAATTATAATAGAAAAAGAATAATTTATTGAAGTTCGTCGCTAATGTTATTGTTTCCATACCTGTTGAAAGAGTTCAAACAATGTGAGTATTGCTGAGATGTACAAATTACTTTGTAGGACATGTAGCTATCTCGTTACGAGTTTGCATCGTGTGCCACCTGGTGAAGAGTGGCACACGAAGAATGAAGTTGGTGAGAAAGCACACAATGAATGAATGAATGAATGAATAAATAAATTTTCCAACGTATACTTCACCTATCAAACTTTTTGTTGTTGTTGTTGTTTGTTTAACTCTGCGTCTTCCACGATTTTTCTGTGTAGTAAAGCATGGAACAAATAAGAAGTGAAATTTTTAAAATGTTACAATAGGAAAAATAAGCTTTTGGTTTAGTCAATTTTGTTCTAACAATGCATTGATGAACATCTGGTGTAAAGTGAAAAGTTTGGATAATTTGGGATCATTTGTTGGCTGTGTGTCATATAATAAAATGTAGAGGTAGCCTACTATAAATAATGAATTGTTTATAGTTACTCAACTTTCGTTTTCAATCTGCCCCTGCCTACTAAAATGACTCCATATCAGTCAAGATTGCGAATAAATTTGAATTTGATCTATGCCCAACGTGCCTCTCCCCCACCCCCACCTTCACAATCTCCTATTCCCATGAGATTGGGACTGAATCAAGTGACTAACTAGCATATAAACTAATTTTAATCTCATTTCCAGAAAAAAAATATTACAGAGACAGAAAAAGGATAACAGTCAGTTTTTTAAAAATATTCATTTGAGTCGTCCAGTGCGTTTGGTTAAGTTTTGTAATACGCATAATAAAAGAAAAAAAATTATATTGAGGTCCATAAGCCTTATATTTCATGAAAGAGAAACACAAACGAACTACACAAACGAAACGTTTCATTTAGTAATATGAAAATATTTCAGCAAGAAATATTATCATGCGCGTTTGTCATATCCGTGTGCCAAAGAAAAAACAAACAAAAAAAAAACATCAACTTGCACTGCGTGCTTCCGCAAGGGGGCGCTCGCGACCTGACAGAATAGTGATCGATAGTGCACAATGAGAAAACGGCTTTAAATATACCTGACAAGGCAACTTCTAAAAATATTCTCAGTGTTATCATGTTTCTTATCTATGAAAGCCCCAAAAGGTGGGCGTTCGCTGACAGATTGATTATAATACGGTTTTGACACCTTTCGCAACACATTTGAGGGGAATGTTTTACAGTCCGTGTCTGATGAAAATGTTATCTGCTCCGTGGTGTTTTTTTTTTTAAACTATTGCACATTTTATCAGTAGGTATGAAAACTCAAATACATAAATTAAAGACTGATATGTGCGTTGCTCTTCTGGAGAGACATTTTGGATTTTTTGGGGGGCGGGGCGGGAGAGGGGGTAAGGATGGGATGTCTGTAGGTTAGGACGATAATGGAGGGGAGTAATCTCTTAAATTACCGCAGTGAAGTTAGTTTCAAAATGGATACGTGAAATTATGCACAATTCTGTAAGCTTTTTATCATTTTTTTTGTTATCGTTATTTCTTTCAAGTAAATGGTTGGCTAGGCAACTTAAAAAGGGGAGAAACATCTCTTTGAAAACATGGCTCAAGGGCAGTAAACAACTCGCAGACAGTTTCTGTTCCTTGTTTTATGCCTGATCTCATCTTTAGATGTGGAACAGGACTTTAGTAGAGCCACTCTGTTCCTAAGCTCCACACGGAAAGAACAGTCGAGTTATGGTGAGAAGAGACTCAGGTCGGATGACAGGTAAGTAGCACATTAATAATAATAATAATAATAATAATAATAATAATAATAATAATAATAATAATAATAATAATAATAATGAATATAATCAGTTTTTTAAGTACATTTCTAAGTCAACTATTTGCGCTTTGGTAACTTCTAGAGATGTTTTAATGTTTTAATGTCGGTGAGTGCTAAATATATATATATATATATATATATATATATATATATATATATATATATATATATATATATATATCAAATAATGCGCGATGGCTTAAATACTTTCACAGCATTTTACAATATTATGCCACACATGGCTTTACAAATTCATTTATAAGCGATTTTCACATGCATGCATAGGCTCCACTCAGCTTTTATTTTTATTTTTTATTTATTTACTTTAACAGCGTAATCTGTGAAGATATACGGGAAATGCAGGTTTTTCAAAAGTGACACGGGTGAAGCGTGTTAGTGTTACAGCTGAATATGCTTTTTCCTTTAAATACTTGGGTGTAACTTCGTGTTGCAAGTGGGCGTAGACACAGTGTGGGGAAGAGAGGAGGGGGACGCGGATGCAACCATGCAATTGGAATGTCTTTTTTTGAGATATCTTTCAGTTGGTGATGGATTTACTGCACTGTAAAACATTTGAGCCGCATTTAGTTGTCTCTACTATCTTCTACTCTTTAAGTCAAGTAAATTCAGCGAGTTTTAGATTTTGAATATAAATGTGTGAGTTTGTGAAAGGTAAACTTACAGCAAACTTACAGCAGTAGGTTGTGTTAACTTTTTTGTTAAATTTGCCAGACTTCCAAGGGTTGAGTAAACTATAGTTTTTAGGTTAGCACTTGGAAAAAAAAAAAAAAAAACTGAAAGAAGAAAAAGACGCGAGTGGGAACTATCTCCCCGTGTGCTCAGCGGCATTTTTTTTGTGTTTCTTGCGTTGCACCGTCCGTAAGTTAGATGAAAATGTGTTACGTTGATGTGACTCTGGTGCGTCGACGAAAACGAAAATAAAAATAAAACACATAAATTACGCAATTACGAAAATAAAGTCAGGCAAAAGAAAAGATCTTCCTGATATATTTCTTTCAATATGAAACTTTAACAAAAGCTGTAATTGTTTGTTAGTAAATGCTTTGGTTAAGACAAGCTTGTTCTTCGTTCACTGTGTTACTCAAAGTGGTAGAGTATCCAGAAATTTTACTCAAGTAAGAGTAACGGTATTTCATAATACTAAATACTCAGCATAGAAAAATACTCTTAAAAGCAAATTTTCCCCATAAAACCTTACTCAAATAACTGTAATAAGTTTCTACCCAACTCTGGGTATTCCAACTTGACATTCCAAACTCAATACAAAGCAATTGAGTCCTTGTCTATAACTAAACCTGTTTAGTCTGCTTGGATAATGTTTGGGAAGATTTTCTGCAGCTGAGATGCCATTATTTTAGAAAACACCTTGGTCAATGCTCTAATTACTACAACTCTGTGCATCTTTTCCAGGTTTGGGAAGTAATGTTATTGTTAAAGATTGAGGAATAGCTATCCTTTGGGATGCCTGTTTGTAAGGGGCGTTAATAATTTATTTGAAAAGATTTTAAAATATTCAATTAGAAAGCTGTCGGGCTCTGGGACTTCATTGTTTTGTAATGATTTAACAGCAAGGAGAACCTCATCCTCAAATATTTAATTTTCCAGCATGTCTTTCTCAGGAACATGTAATCTTAGGGACATGTTATTGATTCAGAAATTGTTTTATGTCTGCATTGTCGTTATCAAGGTCAGATTGAAACTTGAACATTTTTAAGAAACTCCAGAGTTTGATTGAAACAGATGTATGGGACTTTTATTTTATGTAAGTCAGAAATTTTGATTCTTGTTTTTTTTTTTTTTTCTTGAACAGATCAATGCTACACATAAATACACTTTTTTAAATGCCAAAAATAACTGGTGGAAACATGAGCTCACAAAAGTGGAAGCAAAGCAAAAAATAACAAACAGCTGTGAAAAGGCATTGCAAGATGTGCATCAAGCAAATGTTTGGATTTTATAATATTGTATGTATTGTTTAAAAATGAAGCAATCAGAGGGAACAGTGGATAAACTGTGTACATTACACCAGGGCTGTCAATGCAGTTATTTGGCTTTTTTTGGCAAAATGTTCTTAATTGTGCTTCGATAACATGAGAGAACTTATAACTGTGTAAACTGCTCTCCTTGTGAAGCCACATCTCTCGCTCTTGTTCTCTCTTTCTCCTTTTTTGGCCTCTCTAAAGCTCAGCACTCAAATAAAGGAAATGTCTACATTTTATATGTCAACATTACGCACGAGACTAAACAATGATTTTATTTCCAGGAACAGGGATTTACAAGTCTATATTCAACTCTGCAACTGTTTCAAACACTTTGGGAAATCCCCCTCACTCTTGGTAAAGGACAAAAGTTTTACTCAACATTCTCCAAAAGATTCAAATACATACAAAAATTAATCTCTGGCTGGAAGGAACTGTAAAATCTTGTGCAAATGACTGCTTGCTTCTTTATAGAGCTCACTAACCCGAGGCCGTCTGGAAACCATGCGATTGTGCAAACAAAGCTGGCGCCAGCTGTCTTTGAAGCTCTCCGTTGCACTGGGCTCACTGTGGATGCTGTTCATGGTCCTTCAGCTGCAGTCACCCTTGTCTACTGACCTAATCCAAAGTAACCACTGGTTGGAGTACAGGGATTATGACTTTGGCCCTGAGAGAGTGTGCAACTGCTCAGCAATCCAGGAGGGAAACACAGAGGCGCTGCTGGAAGCCAAACTATTAACCATCACAAAAGAGTTCCAGAAAAATATTCAGATCCCTGATGAGTATTACGTTAATGAAACCAAGGACTGCATGTGTGTTGCTTTAAACTACAGAGCCTCCTAACCCTAGAACATTTTCACATTTTGTTGTGATTTTATGTGACAGAAAAACATAAAGTAGAATGGCATTATGAATACACTTGTGTTCAAATCCCTAAGTCCATTAAAGGACAGATTAATTTATACTGATAAAAAAAAGACAAAGACAAACTCTGTTTGCCAGTAAGATAATTTCTGAAGACAATAGACTGTATTGGCTTTTATTGGGTTTTATTGGTATTTTATTGTATTTTCTTTTGAGTAACTGAGCGACTCCTATGAGCCTAACCATAATCCTACGCACGAGTGTCATTTCTTA